TGGCAGAAGTGGGAAACTCACCGAACGGCTACCAAAGACTACAACTACTGCATCACGTATTGAGAAACCACTAATGAGCCAGCTACAGGCAGAACTATTTTTTAAGCATCATGGCAATATACAAGGGTACTTCGAAAAGTCCATGGAAAATGGAATTAAAAGGTAAGTTTTTTTGGTACAAAACATTTTTGAAATCCATGCACAGTTTTCTTGTAATGTGCATTTCCCAAGAAGTTTTTGGGGTCCCTTTGTGTATAGTTTGCACCTGTACAAGAAGAATTAGGGACCAGAGAACCAAGGAGGCTACTTAACTTCATGCAGACAGCAAGCAGCTAAGCAGTGGGCCCCAGTCTTCTGCTCCTTTCGTATTCCACTGCAAATCTCGGACCCGAGGGTATGTGCTATGATGCCCCTTCCATATTTGCTCAGCCTGGGCCAGAGAGGCTGAGGTTCAGCTGATCTGGAGGCCATGCCCAGTGGAAAGGCATGGCCCAGTGCATGACTTGCAAAGAAATAATCCTCTGAATCCCTGGTAGCCTATTTCTGGTTCTTACATCAGTACTTGTGTCATTGCATTGTACCGGGATGGAGTTTCCTTCTCATTTATTATTTAACAAATATTCATTACAGCTATTGTGGTCTTAAGTACGACCTTGTCTTATAGTTTGGAAATGTGGCCTTTTCAGCATCCACCCTTGTAAGAGGCAGGAACTGAAAGGTGGGAGAGAGGAGTCCCTGTCTCTCCCCCTCACTTTCAGAATATACTTCCCTGAGCGAGGATTTCCAAGGCAGCAGGACTTGTAGGTGCTAGACAGAGCCCACCATAGAAGGAGTCAATGAAAACAAGAGCCACCACTTGAAGAAGTCCAGACTGAGTCTGGAGAGTCAGATGATCTGGTTGCAAGTCACTCTCTTGCTTATTTCCCACTGCTATCCCTGAACGTTGAGTGGTGGGCTGTTTAAATGCCCCAGCCTGCCCTCTGCTCTACAGGGGAGCTTTAAAGAGAAGGGTTGCAGTCAGGGCATTGAAGAGTGGTGTCCTCTGTGGTCACTGTGCAGGGGGAGTCCCTGGAGAGAGAGCTGGGCTGCGTCCTTTCCTGCATCTCCCCACACGGCCAGCCCTGCAGAGTCTGTGGCTTGCAGTCTGTGGTTGCAGGGAAGAGGACGTGTTGAATCAAGCTGACCAAAGCAACAAGGAGATGTATCATCAGACATCAACGGAGGCTCAGGGCAGAGCAGGGCCCGGGCAGGATGCAGTCTGTGTGTCAGCAATGGCATCAAATACACAGGTTCTTTTTGACCTTCCACTCGGCTGCCTTGAGTAGCAGCTTCAACCCACACTGGTCTCTGTGGTTTGGAGGTGGTCACCGGTGGCACTAGGGCTGTCTGTACTCTGTACCATGCTGCTTCCTTGGGCCTGGACTGTAACTCCCTAGTATGAGTGAGCATTTTCCACATCCTACATCTGGGTCAATAACAGATGCCAGGGTCATGCCCCACACTGGGGACAAATTAGGATCCAGTTAGGAAGTTGAGGTGGCAGCAACAGAATCTGCTAAGGAGCCTGAGTATTATTCATCAAGTTCAATGGCAATTTCCTTACATCTGGGCTTCACTTCTGTGGTTGGCTGGAATTTGGGGGCCTTTTCTAACACTTAGGCTGGGATGCTACAAGGCAGCAAGGACATGATTGCGAGGCACACACAACGTTGAAGGCTTATGCCTGTGGATGACTTGATGTGGCTTTAGGGCTCATCTCTGAACACTGTCCAGGCTTTCAAGGCGCTGTGGCCACCATGGGCTGAGTCTCATGGAGGCCACAGGATATAAAAAGGGCCTTAGATCGAGTTTGTGGAGAACTGCCAGGTAGCAGCACATGCCACTGTCTGTGCACAGCCGTGCAGGCAGGGACTCTGCTGGTGGCTGACTCCACTGTCACAGTCCTCGGGAGCTGTCTGTGTGGTCTGGTGATGTTGTGCTGGGCCCTGGGTGGCTGGAGACTGTCCGAGCTTTGGACTGACTCCTTCTCTGGCCTGCAGTTGGTGTGGCCTTGGAAACCCTGAAGCACTTCCACATCTATGCCTCTCAGTCCTCGTTCCTTTCACTCAACACATACTTTCTAAGTGCCTCCCAAGTGCCAGGCACCAAAGAAGGGGTGACAACCTCAGCCTTGGCACCTTCTGGCCCTAGAGATGATCATTCTGTCTGCTGCATGGAAGAAAGGGTGATCAAAGGCAGACACCTAGGTGAATCTGTGATTTGTGGCACGGCTGGATGGAGGTGGGCATGGTTTTGTCGGGGAAGGGGGACTATGGAGCATAACAGCAGGAGTCACTATGGGTCCCAGCTACACTAAGCCAGCCTTGCACAGAGTTACCTGCCAAGGGAAGCCAATGAGTCACCCCAGCCAATGCAGACAACACAGAATGGGAGTTTCCTTGGTATGTGCCCCACATACCGCTTCTGACAGGTGAGAGGGCTGCTCACCCCATGCAGAAGGTAGGCCAGCTTGGAGCCAGTCGGGGGCCAGCAGGGGGCCGTCGATAGCTGCTGTCAAGGCTCCTTGGTGCCTCTTTGTCTGGTGTGGTCACCCAGAGAGGCAGAAAGCACAGCGCCTTCTTCCCTGGTGGTGTCTTGGTGGCTGAGTCAGTGGACTGGCTGCCAGTGCGGTCTATCCTGCTGCATCAGGAGGGTGGAGGCGGGCATGTGGCGTAGTACCACACTCTAACTCTGTCTCCTGGCTTATAAAGACAAATCGCCCAACCCAGAAATTCCGTGAGCATGAGCGTGAGGGTGAGTGTGTGGCAATGCGGTGGTGCAGAAGGTGGGGGTTGTCAGAGTGTTCAAGGTGTGTAGTGTGAGTGTACAGATGCCTGTCAGCATGGGTGGACCTAAATCTTCATGACACTGAGCCTCCCAGGGGCAATATGGCCACCTGTCTGCTGCCCTGGCAAGGAGCTTACCCTCTACCACCTGGGGAAGCAAAATACCCTTCCCTCCAAGGTCACACTCACCACCATTTCTGCCTCGATGCCACCCTTGTACCTATTGTCTCCTCCCCCTTCCTCTCCAACCACCAGCACCACCACTTCTGCCATCATCACTGCCAATATTGCCTCCACCATTCCTACTGCTACAGCCTCTGCCCCTTCTACCGCTGCCACCACGGCAGCATCAGCATGGTTGTCATCCTCCCCTTGCTTCTGTCCCTACCACCTCCACTGTTGTCATCAAGACCATCATATCCCCTGTAACAGTGTCATTATCGTCTCCACCCACCTCCACCTCCACTGCAACCATCGTCACTGCCCCGACCCCTGCCGTTACCAACACCATATAACCATGGCCACAGCCAACGTATAATTCTAGGTGTTTATAGTGGGAGCCTGTGCTTTGGTGGGGTCACGCCTCACCTGTTACTAATTCTTATAACAACTCCTTTCTTTACACAATCAATAGATCTCCAAGCACAGGCAGCAAGCTGTGCTTAGAATTTTAATCCACGAATCCAGAATTTAGGTTAAACAACCTACAAATTCTCTTCCAGCTCCAAGATTTTTTGGTGTGTGTGTGTGTGTGTGTGTGTGTGTGAACGCATGTGTCTGCCTAGATGCACAAAGGAAGCCAGTTCAACGTGGTCTCCTTTCATGAGAATTTCTGGCGCAACCTAGATTCCGAGTGTGCAGAAGGAAGCGGGGCACAGTGACCCATTGTGCACGCCTAAGCACCTGCATGCTCAGGCCACTCAGCTCTGCCTCACAAACCAGTGAGCTGTCCCAGGGATTGTGGCTGCGGCAAAGCTTGGGGGGTGCTTGACTACAGGGAGGGTCACCACAGAGAATCAGAGAAGGCCCGTGGTAGAGATATCTTAGGCCACTTCCTCACAAGTCACTTCTGTCCCTCTCAGCCTCCATCTCCTCTATGTAAACGTAGACAATATTGTCCACTTTCTAGTATTACCCAGCAGGCTAAAAGGAAAGACAATCTGTGAAAATCTCAGCTGCTGGGCCTGGAACACAAGGAGTCTTGGCTCCTCCTGCCTCTCACCCACTGCTCCAAGACCCTGCAGCCTTCAGTTGCTGGGGGAACACCATTCAGATTCAATTCTCCGAGACAGTGGGCTTCCTGTCCCCAGTTTTCTCTCAGATAGCTCTGAAGAGAGAACATGGTTATCCTGTAAAATGTCATGGAATCAGAAGCTCTGCAGCTCTGCCAACAACCTGGAGGAGAGGAGAGGACTCCCCAGCAGCACTCCCAGATGAGTAGGCACTGGTCGTCACCTGCTCTGCATCTTAGGTATGCAGATCACACACTCACACACATGCTTACAGGTCAATGCCATTGCTGGGGCAGAGGACAAGGACCAGCAGGGAATGGGACCAGAGCCTGGAACTGTGCTTTGAGGCTTAACTGATTCATGGCCCACATCCAAATGGCACTGGTTGGACAGTGGCTTCCGCTGTAGCCTTTACCCGGGAGCAATTGGGTGGGCAGGCTGATGGCCCCCTGCTTCCGCCCCTTTCAGCAGGTTTCCTTGCTCTGCTCCCCACTCCCTGCCTCTGGCGAAGGTCCTCATGGCCTCTGGGAATGTCTGTCTCCATCCCATTGGCCTCAGCAAGGTTGGCAGGACCAGCAGGGCCTCCTGGTGGGAGCTGGCTGGCTGTTGGGGGTGAAGGGAGAGACATGGAAGCACAGGCTGGGGCTGGGAAGCCGTTTAGAGACAATGACTTCATGACCATGACCTCCTCTCTGCCCCAGCTGCCAGCACTGTCCTCGAAAGCTCAGGGTCAGCTCCTGGATCCAGAGCCAGGGAGCAGCTGGGTCTGCCTACTCAGCAGCCATGCTTCCTGTGAGGGACTCTGCTATTTCCTTTGCAGCTCACAAGACCTTGCATGGGGAGCACATTATGACCAAACGCTGGCCTTGGGTGATGGTGTCCACTGGACATGGGCCTTCTCTAGCCCCTGAGCCCTGGATTGGGTCCTAGTTCTCCCACTTACTAGATAGATGGCTTTGGCAGTCACTCAGCCTCTTTCTTCATGCCTTGCCATCTTCATCTGTAAGAGAAGAATAAATAATGACATCTGTTCAGCAGGTTGTTGTGAATTTAAATGAGATTCTTTAAATGAGAGCTACTTCCTGGTATGTGAAGATGTCCCAGGGTTCTTCAAATGCCGGCTAATGCTGCTCTTACTACGACTGTTGCCGTTATCAGCACAGCTTGTTAGAAGAGCTAACCCCGCAGCCCAGCGTTGGAATCCATTTTAGTTACCTTTGAATAAGATGAGTGCCTACTGTGTGAACACTGCTGGGTGCCTTCGCTGAAACAGACTCTTGTAACCCTCACAATTACGCTGTGCACCAGGTCCTGCAATCTCCTACCTTTTCACAAGTGAGAAATCTCAGCTCTCCCAGGGGACTTTCCTCAAGTCCCAGGCCAACTGGGAGCAGGGAAGAGAAGTTTGCATGTCCTTGACCTGGGTGTTTCACTAGTTACTTCTGTTACTTCTGCCTTGTATCATCCCAAAGAGGAGTGGGAGGCACCTACAAGCAGTCTGTGTGCCAGGCAGCAGAGTGCCCTGGAAAGTATGAAAGCTTCACACTTGGGAAGACCTGGGCTGTGACCCCGGCTCCATTCCTTAGCAGCCAAGTGACTTGGGCCTGTAAAACAAACCCTGTATGAAGGGCAGGCATTTGATGCAGGGATAACGTTGCCATCAGGATAGCCACACCCCATATTGGACTACCTGGATTCGAGTCCCAGTTCCACTTCCCGGTTTAGCTTCCTACTAATGTGCTCCCTGGGAGGCAATAGGCGATGGCTCAAGTATTTGGATCCTTGCCACAAAAACAACCAACAAATACAAAATTCTCTGTAAGCTTCAGCTTCTGTCACCCACAGATCAGCTATGCAAACTGAAAGTTATTATCCCCACTTCTCTGAGAAGTAAATTGAGATTCAGATATGTTGAAACTTTGGCAAAGATTACCAAACTATTAGGTAAGTAAATAATAGGGCCAGTTATTGGTCCCACATTGATCTGATTTCAAATTCCAAAGCCCTTCTTATGATCAGAGCTCTCTGGATGGTGTCCTCCACAGTGTGGTGCAAACCTAGTACAATGCTCCCTAGGGCATCGTGGTACTGGTGGTTTTCTAGGGGTATTGGGTTTAGCAGGGGTAGGGGAGCCATGGGAATAAAACAAGTCAGACATCTACTCTTGCCTCACTCGAATGACTAAGGATGCCACAATTCAGGAATCATTCAAAGTTATAGCTCGTTCAGAACATGGGAGAGGAGAGGGTGGGCTCGCGGAAAGTGAGGCCACCCAGGTCGCGGCTTTGGTTACTGTTTGCTTTCTCTTCATCTTCATCTTCTCTTCCAACAGGATTGCAGCCTGGCATCTGCCCCACCACTGCACGGAAAACACTGTTGCAAGGTATCAGTGTTCTCCTGATGGTCAATCTCAGTGTCAAGTACATCAAGAGCACTCAGGTAGGCGATTCAAGAATTGCAAGGGGCCAGGCCTCAAGCAGATGACAGTTTGCAGTGTAGAAGAACAAAAAACTTCAAAATGTTAGTGGAAAAAAATGAAGCTAAAAGATAACTCTCCCCGATGAAACCCTCATCGCTTCATTGCCGCTGGCTCAGGGATGCTCAGATCGACAGCACACCATTTCTGGACGTGTCTTTCAGAAAGAGAGCAGTAGCTGAATCAGCGGACTGAGTAAAGATCACCCAGTCTATGTGGCCAGGCATCATTTACCCCCCCCCCCCCACCACACACACACAGCTTGAAGAGGACAAAAAGGCAGCGGAAGGGAGAGCTAGAGGGGGCATGCATCTTCTTTTGCCCTTGGACAATGGAGCTCATGATCCCCAGGCCTTTGGACTTGGATTGAATTACACCACTAGCTTTCCTGGGTCTGCAGTTTGCAGAGGGCAAATTAGGGGACTTCTCAGCCTCTGTAACAGTGAGCCAATCCCTATTATCTATCTATCTATCTATCTATCTATCTATCTATCTACCTATCTATCTATCTACCTATCTACCTACCTACCTATTTATCAATCCACCTAATTGCCTGTTTCTCTGGAGACTCCCTACTAGTACCAGGGTACTTCAAAACACTTGTGGAAAATGGAGTTAAAAGATAAGTTGATTTAGGGATGAAACAATTTTGAAAGCTATACATAACAGGGATCTTCAAAAAGGTCATGGAAAGTGCTCACTATACAAAAAGTATAGAGTTCAGAAATCATTCTTCATCAAAATAAACTTATCTTTTAATTCTATTTTCCATGAACCTTTGAAACACTTAATCCAATGGCTTTCAGAATCAACCTGTTCAAAGCTGCATGTACCATCATCCTGCTGCCAGCAACCAACTTGGGCTCACTCTTCACAGTTTTCTCCCCCAATTAAATCAGTCTTCAATCCTTTCAAACCTTCCTCCTGGCTATCCCTCGGATGTGCCTGCTTTTCTCATCTCTGCACTCACTTGGTTTGATTCCAGCTGTCCTGTGTCTTGCCTGGATTGTTCCAGCAGCCTCCCAATTGACCTCCTCTCCTCCACTTCAGTCCATCTCGGATCTGCTGATCTTTCTAAAAGCAAAAGAATCTGATCATGAACTTCCCATCCTTCAAATTCCTACTGTCTTTAGCAAAAAAAAGCCAAAACTCCTTAGCCTGATCCACAGGCTCTTCAGGGCCCGACTCCAGTCTCTTCTCTCTTCTTTTCCTGTCTCCCACTTCCCATATGGTCCACAATTAGGGCGATTGAGTATTTTTCATCCAGACCAAGATACTTATAAAAATGCAAGGATGCCCTGGTCATAATTATGCTGGAATACCCTGAGATTCTCCAGGACAACCTGGGATGTGTGGTCATCCAATCACAGAGTTGCCCCAGGGCCGAAACCTATGATTTTTTCCTTCCCCCAGCAGCTACCTGGCAACTGTGGTTTTTTTTTTTTTTTTTTTTTTTTTTTTTTTTTTTTTTTTTCTGAAACTCTTGGCTCAGGTTTTCAGAGCTGGACATTCCTCCCATCCCAGTTCATCTTTGCAAGGCAAGCCTGAGTTACAGCCTCCAAATTGGCTGGCTGCCCTTCTGGCAGGTGACGAGCCTGGGCCAATCGGGGCTGACTGTGCTAGCTGCCCCAGCGTGGAGCACATGGCCACTCATGTGTTCAAAACCAACCAAAAACTCTCTCCAAATAAATGGACAGCATACCCTGCTCTGAATAAAACACCTGAGGGAACCACAGTTGTGATGCATTAAATTCTGCTAGACGTAGCAGGAGAAGCATTTTCATACTATACAACTTGATATTAGAAACACAGAAGGATAGAACAGTCAAACGATAAGGTCATATCTAATTCAAACCCCATTCAAACTCTGATGCTAGGGTTTCCTCTACAGCACTACCATCATAAGGAAGTCCAGCCTCTCCACTGCGTAGGGGATTCACTACTTCCTGAGGAAGTCACTGAGAAGACCATTAGGACTTCTGTTATTGTTATTGTTGCTGTTGTTGAGTCAAAATGTATTTCCCCCTGTCTGTTGGCCTGATGTTCCTGATTCTACCCCTTGGGTCCTTCAGAAGAATTCCATGGGGCTTGTGCTTGTATTCCAACCCCATGGATCCAGCAGGAGCTGCTCTAGTGTTTCCTCCACCTAAGCCACAGCCAGTTGGTCCAAGAGCCAGGGCTCGACTCAGGCCAGGCCAATCAAAATCCCCTCCCGGGATTTAAAAACTTGGAACCAAGGCCAAGTATCATTGTTTTCTGCAACCTGAAGAAATTCAGTCTGGAACAGGAGAGGATGAGGCTGAAGTTCAGAAAAAAAGCAAAGAAAAGGTGAGGTTTAGGAAGAATGGGAGAAAGAGACGTTGGGGGGAGGGGGAAGGAGTGAGAAGAGAGACCAATACCTTGTGGCACCCAGTCCCAAGCTCCAGTTGTTCATGAAGTCCATCAGAGACCTCATCAATGAACAGGTGCACTTCCCTGTTCCTTCACACTTTGGGATAATTCAGAGACTTGGGTTGGCTTTCTGTTATTTCTGACTTGAGTCTTCACTAACATAGGACCACAATAAAGAGATCAGTTCCTTCTCAAATGTTCCCTCTCAAATGTTTGAAGACAGCTCTTGGGTCCTCTGTCCCAGAGTCATTCCTGTTCCTCAGCATAATGTACTCATCTCTGTGTAGCCCCAGGGTTCCGAGGAGCTACAGTAGGGATTACATAGGGTTTTGCTGTTGGTTTTAACAGAAGTCTTAGTTTGAAGAAAGCCTTCCATGTTTATAAATTATTTGAAATCAATTTGCCTTGATTTGAAAGCATTTGAAACAGTGTCCATGTTGGGTTCTCATTGTACTCTCAGTATTTATAACAGACAGACCAGACCAGCATCAACAATGTTAGATGAATGGAATATATTCTGGGGTTCAAGCTCCTTCACCACCCTGGCTCTTCTTGATTCGAGGTTTGGAGCTGTGTTTGTATTTTAAAGGCCTCCTGCCTCCTCTGGGAGCATTTAGGCCTGGGCTAGACCCCACTCAGGCCCACGAAGCTCCTTGTCATAGCCCAGCTACCCTGCACCACACCACCAGCGCAGCCAACGCATCAGCTGGCTAACTTGGAGGATGCCCTTCCTCCCAGGCAGAATCTTCTTCTCTCTTCCTTTCAAATCCTGCTGTGCTGTTATTCAGCAACAAAAACTGCAGAAATCATTTTAGAAAGGAAGCCAGCTGGTTCATCCGTCTGATTAAACCCAAGCAGTGGGATCCAAGCTCAGTGTACATGACGGGGGCTGTGCCTCCTCCTTGGCCACAGCGAGCCTGCAGTGATTCTTCCCCTAGGGGCTCAGTCACCCCTCACATTTGCAAAATCATGTGAGTCCGAGCGAAAGGCCAGGTCTACACTGAGAGACTGTAGGGAGTGCTGAGTGGAAGTGATTTAAACCTCCCTCTCTCACCTTCACTGAAGGCCTCAACTCCACAAAGTATGCCAGGCTCCCCCAGTCTGTCATCAAGATGCTGGTCTGCAAAGCCAGC